TATATATATATATATACACACACACACACACATACACACATACATTTGTGGTATATAAACAATTTTAAGTTTGGGACCTCAAGTTACCTTCCTCATTTGACTGGTGCCCATCAGACTCTACTGACCTCAACACAGATGTTTTCACATCATTATTAGATTCCATACCTTGACCACCAATTAAAAGTTTGCCAAAACTGACTGTTTTTTCAGAGACCGCTCCATAAGCAGCACCTGCTTCAGAAAAGGCCTCAGGATCAGCCCTGAAAGAAGAGCTCAGTGTCATCACAGACATTGTGAAAAATAAGATGTCCATTGTCCAAGGCTTGGTGAGTTCTCAAACAAACACCAAGAAATTCAGTTATTGGGGGAAAACCTTAACTCTACAGCTTAACACACTTATTGAGACATACTGTCGTATTTGTACTCACTTTTAAATCACTCTGTGATATTGGACAACCAATCAAATCTGTTCATCAGTCAGCTTGTTATTTTCACCTGTGCCTCATTATGCTGAGAGTTAAAACAGGGGTTGAATTTGAAATAGTACACTAGCGTATGACTCCAGAGCAGTATGCTTGTGTGCTATTTGAGTTTCAGCCAAGATACAGAACATTTATGGTGTCTTTATTGATAGGACTGGGGGTGGCACAGTGGCTTGGTGGTTAGCACTGTGGTCTCACAGCAAGAAGGTCCCCGATTCGAGCTCCAGCAGGGACAGGAGGCCTTTCTGTGGGGTTTGCATGTTTTCCCTGTGTTTACCCTGGGTACTCCGGTTTCCTCCCACAGCCCAAAGACATGCAGGTTATGCCGAGTTCACACTGCACGATTTTCAAAGACGTCGCATCACTGTTGGTTTCACACTGAACGACTATCTGGGGTAGCATTCAGTTGTTGCTGTGTTCACACTGCACGATGGAACGACGACAGGAGGTTACACACTGCATGACTTTACAATAGGAAGAATCGCCGACAGCTCTGTCTGGTGCAGGGTTGCCAGGTTTTCGCTACAAAACCCACCCAATTACTACTCAAAACTAGCCTGAAAATAGCCCAATTGCTTTCGAGGGGGTCCCCAAGTAAAAATCGCGTTTGGGGATTAAATACACATTTTTTTGGCGGGGTTCTCCTGGTACAATTCACAATCCAGGGCCTAAATATCACGTTATTGGGGTCGCTTCAACCTGCTGACATAAAAAACAACCGGCGGCAATCGCGGATTTGGCAACACTGGTCCGCAAACTACATTTCATATAACTCCTCCCCGAACTTCCCGCTGCCCTGTATCTTGGTCTCTCATTGGCTATAGGTCATCGCCGATGTGTTTTTCAGTCAGAACTCATTTCACACAGCGTGATTGTGAATCGCCGTCAGCTCCAGATATTTAGCATGCCAAATATTTCACGGGCGTCGGCGACGCATGCATGATTGTCACTTGCGTGAACGAGCACCGATTTGCCTCCGATTTCGCAAAACCTGTCGGCGTGTGAAAAATCGGGCTAAAATCGTGCAGTGTGAACTCGGCATTAGGTTAACTGAAAACTAAATTGTCCCTGGACGTGTGTGTAATAGCCAGAGGCGAAACAAGATGAAGTGGGGGCCCCAGGCAAAATTAATAGACGAGGCCCTTCTAAAAGATTATTCGTTACCTAGATATATATTTATACAACAAACAAAAAGTAGTTAAAACACATATAATAGATAACATAAATTGTATATTTTTTAAAAACAAAGTGCTTATTCTTTAACAAAATATCAATGTTCATATCTATGACAGAAAATGCAATACTGTACAATGCAATCTTGAAGATAGAACCAGAAACTCAAGTAATTTGTGCACAAAAGTTTTATTAACTAAACACTAACACATAACTAATCTAGACAAAGAAACAATCATACAAATCACTCATTCATGGGGAGGTTGGAAGTGGATGACTGAAACCGTTAGAGAAATCAGAGAATGCAGTTATGGAAAATGAGTCCGTTAACCACCTGAGTGAAACTATCAGCGCCGTTTTATAACGGGGTCTACAGCTTATCCTAAACCTCTGTTTCGTTTAGTTAAATGTACGATAGTTGCTTTGCTTTGGCCTTGAACGAGCGTACGGATGCAGTCTCGGATGAAAGTCTTGATGGTTTGGAGGTTCGTGGTGGAGTCGTCACGATCACGTTCTTCCACGTTGGAGTGATGAACTCCAAAAAGATGTTATTCTGACTCTGTGGTGGTCGGGAGAGTTTTCTCCCAGATGGAAAGTGAAGGCATGGCTGTAGTTGAGGCCTGCCAGGCGTGGCTGCGCCGGCCCCGGGAGGTTGATGAGAGCAGAGACAAGAGACAAAAGCCAAAAACCCAAAAAGCCCAGCAGGGTCACTGATGTGAGGCCTTATAAGTTCGAAGCAGGTCACACCTCCCAGGATTTGAGTGAGCCAATGAGGAATACCTTTGGAGGGAAATTTTACGATCCTTTGCCTCTAGCATGGTGTTTTGCATATGAAACTCGATTGGGTGTTCAAGAGAAAAAGCTTCAAGATTCTTATAATATTAATGTGTTGCATAGGTATCAACATATAATATAAACTCTCATTTAGATCATGAAAATACGAACTCATAGATACCAAACATGGTATAGGTGAGGTTATATTAACTAGTGATCTATCATGGTTGATGAGAGCAGAGACAAGAGACAAAAGCCAAAAACCCAAAAAGCCCAGCAGGGTCACTGATGTGAGGCCTTATAAGTTCGAAGCAGGTCACACCTCCCAGGATTTGAGTGAGCCAATGAGGAATACCTTTGGAGGGAAATTTTACGATCCTTTGCCTCTAGCATGGTGTTTTGCATATGAAACTCGATTGGGTGTTCAAGAGAAAAAGCTTCAAGATTCTTATAATATTAATGTGTTGCATAGGTATCAACATATAATATAAACTCTCATTTAGATCATGAAAATACGAACTCATAGATACCAAACATGGTATAGGTGAATATTAATTAACTAGTGATCTATCATAAGCATGCATAAAACAGTATACAATACACAAGACCATATACAAAGAGGTAGTAATCATACACAAAGACCTGGGGATATGCATGATAGGAAAGTCAGAGAAAAATGTGTCTATGAATTAATGAAAGAAGTCATTTTCTATAGCAGAATGTGTCTGTTTTAGAGAGAATTGAGTAGGGAGGAAGAATCTCTCTACATACTTTTAGGTCGTAAAGTTTATCTGATGTGGCTGAGGTGTCCTGGCCTGGAGATCGTTCACAGACATATAGGCACCAAGTCTTGTGTGGGGTGAGGGGGTCTGTGATTGTTTGTTAATCTAATGAATAATTGATTTGTTAAATCTAATGAACAATTATGTTAATTTAATGTAGAAGAGCTAAATAAATAATGTCAACTAAGTAAATTTAATAATATTTATTTATATTGATTCGTAGGCTCCCCACTGGCAGCAAGACAGTACACAGGGATGCAAACTAATCATAGTCAAGTCACCTTATTTATTTAGCGCTTTTAACAACACCGATTGTGTCAAAGCAACTTTACAGTATTAAATAGGAAAATAGTGTGTCAATAATGCAAAATGACAATAGTAAACACTCAATTTTCAGTTAAAGACAGTTCATCATTGAATTCAGTGATGTCATCATCCAGCTCAGTTCAGTTTAAATAGTATCTGTGGCTCATCTAGTTGTCCTGGTCTCCGCTGACATTCAGGGATGTAGAGGTCGTCTCTAGGTGCTGATCCACCATCTGGGCTGGATATGGACTGTATCTGGGTGACTGCAGTGACCATCTGATCTGGATACAGACTGGATCTGGTGGCTATGGTGACCTCGGAATAAGAAAGAAACAGACTAATATTAGCATAGATGCCATTCTTCTAACGATGAAGCAAGTACATCAGGTGTCATGGGAAGTGTTCCCGGTTCTGGTTGTCCTAATTAATGCAGCCTAAAAATCCTTTAACGGATTTGAATATTAGAAATGTATAAGTGTGTTATGTGTAAGCCAGGTTAAAGACATGGGTCTTTAATCTAGATTTAAACTGACAGAGTGTGTCTGCCTCCCGAACAATGTTAGGTAGGTTATTCCAGAGTTTGGGCACTAAATAAGGATCTGCCACCCACAGTTGATTTTGATATTCTAGGCATTATCAAATTGCCAGAGTTTTGAGAATGCAGCGGATGTGGAGGACTATAATGCGATAAGAGCTGGCTCAGGTACTGAGGTGCTAAAGCATTCAGGGCTTTATAAGTAATTAGCAAG